TATACATATATTATATATATATATATATATATATATATATATATACCTATATGTATATATGTATATATTACTCATTTGTTACAACAACGACATAATTTAAAAATTATTATTTTTTAGTAGCTTACAAGGAACGAAAACATAGAGAAAAAAAAGAAGAAACTAAACTTTAAAAATAAACTTTTATTCCTCTACAATCAGTTATTACATCAAAACTATATTTCAAAATTAATACAAAATTGATTAATGATTCAAAACATTCAAACTCATTTTTTTTTATTTCTAATTTTTTTTTAGTTGTGTCGTGTTGTAGCGAATAAGCGATATAATATAAATGTATATATACATACATACACAAATATAGCTTTGGCAGATTTTAAGGGGGAAGTCTGATTTAGCACGCTGAAAAATTAGGTGACTTTGGAAATTTTTTTTTAGGAAACTATACAACCAATCCTTCTGAACTGTATAGGGTAATTTCTTACACTATTGAACTAACAAAAAAATATTTTTTTGTCCGAAAGAAAGTATTTATTATGGAAGTAATAACAACTTCTTATTCGGCTCGTCGGCGAGCGGCGTGCAATAATATAGCGTCGCTTGTATTTATCTGAAATAGAAATCCAAAAAGATTATTGTTTATTAAGAGTTTACGCATTAACTGAACCTATTTTTAAAGAAAATAATGCGAAATTGTGAAAATCGCGACACTTGGAAAAAAAGGTAGCAATTTTGACAAAAAATTTTTCGCGTTTATTATGCAATAAAAATTATTTAATCAAATAATATTATAAACTGTGGTTCAAGTTATTGGGGAAGTATTTGTGCAAATGTGTGCAAAGGCCCAAGTCAATCGGATGAATAATTTTTGAATTATCTTGCACGCCGCCACCGTCGAATAAATGTTATTATTACTTGCATAATAAATACTTTTTTCTGGCAAAAAAAATATTTTTTTGTTAGTTCAATAGTATAAGAAATTACCCTATAAAGTTCAAAAGGATTGGTTGAATAGTTTCCTTAAAAAAAATTCCAAAATAGTCACCTAATTTTTCAGCGTGCTAAACCAGACTCCTCCCTTAATAAAATAGCACTTCTGATGCTAATAATTATTTCGGAAAGAAGAAAATAATGTCGCATACATCGATATTGAAAGGGGCTGCGTTTTCACATTGTTGGCAAAAATATATATAGGTTTCTGGGCGTCCAAGCAACCGAATCCGCACTCGGGCGAGTGCGTGGACGTCGCCTTGACGGATGACCAGCAAACGTGGGAGCTGACCACGTGCGAGTCGCTTCTTCCTTTCATGTGCCGCGCCGACGCCTGTCCTTCCGGTAAGTCCGTGAATTGCGGGCGACGTAAGACCGCGCGCGCGGGCCGCGCGTTCACCATATATGTAGCACGTATTTCACGTGAAACGGGAAACGATAATCCACCGTGACGGGATAACACTCTCCGCAGGTTCGTTCCACTGCTCGAACGGCAAGTGCATTAACGCGGCGTTCAAATGCGACAAGCAGGACGACTGCGGCGATTATTCCGACGAATTGGACTGCCCGGCTAATTGCCAGTATTACATGGCGAGCAGCGGCGACGTCGTGGAGAGCCCGAATTATCCGCACAAATATGCACCCCTCAGCAACTGCAAGTGGACGCTGGAGGGCCCTCAAGGACACAACATTCTCCTGCAGGTGAGGTCACTTCGGCCAGTTATACTTCGATAAACGTTCCCTCGTTCAGTATAGGCTAATGACACTTAATGTCGCGTAATATATGCCGTAAAAAAAAAAAACAACTCTTCCGCGCGGAGACCACTTTGAAACGGAATTGCAAAACAAATGCAAAACAAAGTCATGGATTCCGCGTGTTTCAGTTCCAAGAATTCGAGACCGAGAAGAGCTTCGACATAGTGCAGATCCTCGTGGGCGGTAGAACCGAGGAGAAGTCCGTGAATCTCGCGACCCTGTCCGGCAAGCAGGACCTCAGCAACAAGCTCTTCGTCTCGGCCTCGAACTTTATGATCATCAAATTCAGCTCCGACGCCTCGGTGGAGAGAAAGGGCTTCCGCGCCTCGTGGAAGACCGAGCCGCAGACCTGCGGCGGGATCCTCAGGGCGACGCCGCAGGGACAGGTGCTCATGTCCCCGGGATATCCGCAAAATTATCCCGGAGGATTGGAGTGTCTGTACATCCTGCAGGCTCAGCCGGGACGCATAATGTCTCTGGAAGTACGTTGAAATCTCACACACACACATCCGTTTTGCTTCAATCGTAATACTTATTTCTCAAACAGCGTTTGAAAATTGCTTTGAACGGCCCAGATAACATGAAGTCTCTAAAATCGGGACATACAGACGCCTTTTAAACGTCTCTCATAAAGATGTTTTTTAAAGCGTTTTCAATGAGACTTAAGATATAAGAATTAAGAAAATTGAACAATCGCTATCGATTATTCTTCTTACGAGATGAATAATTAATCGACTATGATTGGTCAATTTTCGTAATTCTTAAGTCTTAAGTCTCATTGCAGACGCAGCATATAGATGTTTCTTAAAGCGGCTACGATGAGCATTAAGATATAAGAATTAAGAAAATTGAACAATCGCTATCGACTATTCTTCTTATGTGAGATAAATAATCGACTATGATTGGTCAATTTTCTTAAATCTTAAGTCTTAAGTCTCATTGCAGACACCGCTTAAGACGTCTTTAAGACATATTTAAACTGGCGTCTATAATAAGATTTTAGGGCTTAAAACTTAAGCTTTAAGCCTTAAACCATAAGAAATTGATTAATCATCATTGTCCAATAATAGTCAATTATTCTTCTCGCATTCGACTGTGATTTGTTAATTTCTTACGGCTTGAGCTTAAGTTTTACGCCTTAAAATCTCATTGTAGACGCCGCTTAAGATATCTTAAAATATGTCTTAAATCTTAATCTTAAATATGTCCCGATTTTAAACTTTATATTGTCTGGGAAAGCAGGGAATGGAAAGTTACTTTTTAAAAGTAACTAGTTATCGTTACTCGTTGCCGAGTTAAAGAATAACTAGTTACCGTTACTAGTTACTGATTTTTAAAAATAACTCGTTACCGTTACTTTTTAAGTAACGGTTTGTTACTTTTCCATTACTTTTTTAATGCTGAAACAAGATCAATCTAAATAATTTAAGGTGCAATTTTTTGTTTTAATATTAATAAAAGCAATACAACAATGACACTAGACGATATATAAAAATACAACCAGGAAAATGAAGGCTTTTTCGATATGAGCTAGAGCTTCAAGCTTTGTGCTTAATATTTCGAAATAATTTATATATACATATCCAATTTTACAAACTACGCGCCAATTAAATTTTCGATCTTGAAACGCAATTCAGCTGATTTTTTTCACAATAAATTTTTTAAAGTATTTTAAGATGCATATATAACGTAAAAATATCTTATTAAAGTACTTGTCAATTTAATTTGTGATATTAATTGATTTATGGCATTCTTAAGATGTCATAAATCAATCACAGAGTCATATTAATATTTTAAGACATTATTTAAAACAGTCTTAAAATAAGAGTAAATTATATAAAAACTAGCTAAAAATTGAAGATTGAATATACATACGAAAATTTTGTTATAAATGCAAAAAGCTCAAAATACAAAAAGTAACGATACAAGTAACTGCAGTATAATTTGTTACCGTTACCGAAAAAAATGTAACTACGTTACCGTTACAGTTACCAAAAAAAAATAAAATAACGTCATTACCAATCCGTTACCAAAAAAAAAAGTAACTGTAACGATAACGGCGTTACAAGTTACAAGTAACGAGTTACTTCTAATCAATCTCTTTGGGGAAGACGACATAAAAGCGCCAGTGAAATTCGAGGATGCATCTAATCTTCTCGTTTCTCAGATCGAGGACTTGGATCTCGAAATGAATCGGGATTACATTCTCGTGAGGGACGGGGATTCGCCTATGAGCCGACCGATCGCGCGTCTCACCGGGAAATCGGAGGACAATCCGACCGTGATCATGTCCACCGGCAGCAATTTGTACCTGTACTTCAAGACGAGCCTCGGCGATTCCAAGCGTGGCTTCAGCATACGCTTCACGCAGGGCTGCAAGGCCACGATCATCGCGAGAAACGGCACGGTCCAGTCGCCGTCCTACGGCCTCAACGACTATCCCAACAATCAGGAATGTTTGTACAAGATAAAAAATCCGGATCGGGGGCCGCTGTCGCTGAAATTCAGCAGTTTCAACGTTCACAAAACCGACTACGTGCAGGTAAAGTTCGATTATACGTTATATACGAACGGCGAATAAAAGTTACGTTACACCTCTCCGTCACGTTCGGATTATTATAACTTTCGCTCTTCCGCGGGAAATCGGCAGATATACGACGGCTCCAATACGAACGGTCTGCGCTTGCATTCCGGAAGCGGTTTCACCTCTAACACCCGGCCTAAGATCACGCTCACCGCGGAGAGCGGAGAAATGCTCGTCAGGTTCGCCTCCGACGCTCTGCACAGCAACGCCGGCTGGCAGGCTGAGTTTTCCGCCGGTAAGCCATTTATTTTTCAACACCTGCTCTTATACGTAAAGTAACATGTAAACATATCTTGATCATAAAGCACCTCCACAAATTTTTACGTGAACCCGTTCTAACGAAGAATAAATTAAAAACAAATGTAACTTGAAGAAATAGAGACTCGTATAATGAATAATCGTAAATAGCGCAGTATAGTGCGAGCCGACACGGATGTTGGTGTGCAATAATTTTTTGTGTTACAATAATGGCTCAAAATTGAAGACAGTTTTGTTGAAAAATAATATTTATTTTTAATAAATTTTTAGTAATTTTAATATTTTATTAAAGTAACTTTTCTTACCGCCTTTTTTGAGGAAAATGCAATAAATTGAGGATGCTTTATATTTATGACCAAGACCTGTGTGTAATAATAATAATAATAATATATTATATAATAATAATAATAATAATAATATATTATATAATAATAATAATAATAATAATAATATTAAAACATAATAATAATAGTAATAATAATATATTATAACTATAACATATCATATATCAAGAAAATCTCTATTAATTCTAGATAATTATTTTATTTTATTTTATTTTATCACGTTTGAACAAGTTTATCTATGCGCGATGATAGTGCCAATATTATAAAATTATAAAAATGAGTGGCTAAATTATCAAAATTATTAAATATTTTAGATTGTCCCCCGCTGCAACCCGGCGAGGGAGCTCTAGCGTCGAGCCGGGACACAGCTTTCGGCACTGTAGTTACGTTCTCCTGCCCGCTGGGGCAAGAGTTCGCCACGGGCAAATCGAGAATTTCCACAGAGTGTCTCCCCGGTGGGAATTGGTCTGTTACGTATATACCCAAATGCCAAGAGGTGTACTGCGGCCCGGTACCTCAGATCGATAACGGCTTCTCGATTGGCTCTTCGAACGTGACTTACCGAGGACTGGCGACCTACCAGTGTTACGCGGGTTTCGCGTTTCCCTCCGGAAGACCCACGGAAAAGGTTTCTTGCTTGGCCGACGGAAGATGGGAAAAGAAGCCGTCCTGCTTAGGTTCGTTAACAATTTTATCCACTCGACTTGTTAGATGCAATATTAAATGAAGTAGAATTACATTTAAAAACTGCACTCATCATTTCGTTTTCAGCACAGAGTAGAAAAAAATTGTATTTAATTTTTAAACATAATAAAATTAGATTTAAGAACCACGCATATCATTTTTGTTCTCAGCATCTCAGTGCGCTCCGCTGCCAGAGGCACCTCACTCTAACATAACTATCTTGAACGGAGGCGGCCGGAGCTACGGCACGATTGTCAGATTCGAGTGCGAGCCCGGCTACGTTCGAAGCGGACACCCCGTCATTCTTTGCATGAGCAACGGTACCTGGTCCGACGAAGTGCCGACATGTTCGCGTAAGTATAAATAAACGACTCGACCAATAATAAATATACCGCGTCCAGCAAACGAAAATTTTTTGAAATGGATGCACAGAAAGAACGATTTTATTGAAAGATCTAAAAATTTTGCTACATAAAACCAGATCTGAAAATAATTTTTTGTTGAATTATTAAAATAATTTGTTGAAATGTATAAAACTGATAAGCATTGCTATAAAATGTTTTGATATTCCAGCAATCACTTTGACTCTCGCACAAAATTATTTTGATTATTGAACAAAAATTATTTTCATATCTGGATTCAGCAAATTTGTTCTTTCTGTGTAGAAATGAATTCACTTCGACATTTTCGAATTGGCGCTTCTGATTCTTCGAATCTATTTGAATAAAAAAATAATATATGACGGATATGAATACATCTGAATTCAACATGGCAGATAGTTCATTTCATACTTCAATTTGTTTGAATCAAAAAATAATATAATAGGGACAGAAATGCATCTCCGGACTCTAAATAGCGTCCACTCGAATAAATTAAGATGAATTGCAATTTTCAATTCATTTGAATTAATTTTCGTTTACTGGGCCATTATTTTGACATCGATATCAAATTAAATAGATAACATAATGATTCCTTTTCTCTTCTTTATAGGTGCTAAATGTCCGCAGCTACCTACGATTAAAAATGGATTCGTTGTTGATATCGGCAGGGATTACTTCTTCGGCGATGAAGTCAGGGTGCAGTGCAACAGAGGCTACAAACTAACTGGATCGAATATCATACAGTGCGGTCCTTATCAACGATTTGATAACGTGCCCACTTGCGAAGGTATAGATTCTACGTAAATTGTTTATTATATTAAAAAACAAAATGTGATTAGGCTCCGATAATTAAAATTTAAAATTAATAATAGTATAGAGCAAGGAGCCAAGCTAGATATTCGTGCTAAAACGAAGTATATTAATCAGAATTAATTACATACGATAATTTACAACTAAACGATCGCATCGGCTTAACATCAAGCCTTCCTGAGTCATATTTTACAATTTCTTAATCGTGCGTCACATTCTTCCGTTACATAAAAACCGTATTCGGGAACGCAATCTAATACATAGTTTCATATATCGAATATATTTCTTCATTAAACTATGTGTATGTTTTTCAAAGTTATGTCTAATAAAATCAAACAACGGTAATTGGAAAAAAACGCATCTTTTCGCCCGCGTGAATTAAATTAAAAAATAAAAAGTGATTCGGCTCCGATAATTAAAATTTAAAATTAATAATAAGATAGGGCAAGGAGCCAAGCTAGATATTCGTGCTAAAACGAAGTATATTAATCAGAATTAATTACATACGATAATTTACAAACGATCGCTTCGGCTTAACATCAAGCCTTCCTCAGTCATATTTTACAATTTCTTAACCGTATGTCATATTCTTCCGTTACATAAAAACCGTATTCAGGAATGCAGTCTAATATATAATTTCGTATATCGAATACATTTCTTCATTAAACTATGTATATTCTCCAAAGTTATGTCTAATTAAAATAAAAAACGGTAATCCGAAAAAACGCGTCTTTTCGCCCGCGTGAATTAAATTAAAAAACAAAAAAGTGATTAGACTTTGATAATTAAAATTTAAAATTAATAACAGTTTAGGGCAAGTTAGATATTTGTTTATTATAATTTTTGTTAGAAATAATTAATTGACTCGACGTCGAGATCAATCATTTGGAATGAGAAACGGGTGGTTAACTCATATTCTTCCATCTGTCTCTGTAGATATAAACGAATGCACATCGAGCCAATGCGACCTGGCGTCCACGGAGTGCATAAACAATCCCGGTGCATTTACTTGTAAATGCAAATCCGGCTTTGCACCGACCATGGAGTGTCGGCCTATCGGAGATCTTGGTTTAATCAACGGCGGCATTCCCGACGAGTCGATCACCGTTTCAAGCTCGGAAAATGGATATACAAAAACTGTAAGTTACATTGACCTTTTCTGTTCATATCCCTAGTAAACAAGAATGGATTGAAATAAATTTAAAAAAATTTATTTCAATGTTCGCAAACGCGTACTTTTGAAATACTTGAAATACTTTGAAGTACTCTGAATCCATTTCAATGTCAAATGCCTTTATATTCATTTATAGGAATTGCATGAATCACATTTTCTATGCCATTCAATCCAAAATAAATTCAGCTTTAAAAAGTAAACCGTGAATACTGGTTAATTCAAAATTCTAGATAGAAAATGCTGTTTTTTCAATCTAATTAAGATTGAATTGTTTCAATAAAAAAAAAATATTTTTTGGTTTAGATGGATTGAAGCAATGCATTTCCTAGTCACAATTTTTGTCCTAGTCACAATTAATATAATATAATGATATTATATATTAATATTATATTAAAAAATATTATATTATTATCATATTATAAAATAGAAATGCATTTATTTCCACGGAGGCCAATCAATTTCAACTTCTCGAAATAAAAAATTGTAATCCTTTCCCGTTTACTGAGCAGCCAAAAATGTTGTGATTGATGTTGAACCGATCCACATTAATTCCATGTCAATTCAACGTCGATTTAACGTCAATCGACCAACCATTTCTAACTAATCTTTCAGTGTCCTTTCCTTTTATGATATTAAATATACTCATGTGCTTTCTACTTTTTCGAAGGGTATTCGTTTGAACAACGGCGATGGATGGTGCGGCAACAACATCGAGCCGGGCGCGAACTGGGCGACGGTCGACATGAAGGCGCCGACGATCATTCGCGGCTTCCGCACGCAGGTCGTCGCCAGGATCGACGGGAACATCGCGTACGCGTCGGCCGTGCGGATTCAGTACACGAACGATCTGACGGACGTCTTCAAGGATTACACCAATCCGGACGGCACGCCGGTGGAGTTCAGGATCCTGGAGGCGACGCTCTCCATCCTGAATCTACCTGTGCCAATCGAGGCGCGCTACTTGCGATTCAAAATACAGGATTACATCGGCGCGCCGTGCATGAAGCTCGAGATAATGGGCTGCACCAGACTGGAGTGCTCGGACATTAACGAGTGCGTTGTCAGGAACGGCGGCTGCCAACAAAAGTGCATCAACAGCCCCGGCAGCTATTCCTGCATGTGCAACACGGGCTTCGAATTGTACAAGGGCAACGGCACGGCCGGATTTGACTTGGCCAAGTCGGAGACTGGCGAGAGGGATGGCGATTTTTATCAGAGAAACAAAACGTGCGTGCCGGTGATGTGCCCGCCGTTGACGGCACCGGAGAACGGAAAATTATTGTCGACCAAGGTAAAATAAAAATTAAATAGTAAGGGAAGGGGAGGGCAAATAGTGTCATTTTTAATTTCTCCTCTTTTCCGCGTCTATTTTATTACTACTCATTAATAGAAAGACAGTTCTCAAGCATCTTCTGAAAATGCAGTAAAAATTAAAAGCCAAATATAGCTAGCGGAAAAGTTTAAAATTTTGCATTTGAGTAATAATTGTATTATATATTGTATAATAATAAAAAACTTGGATCTTTCTTTTGATATTTGAAGTTATATTTTCTTAATTGCTGAATCGTTGAATAAAATTTAACTTATTCTATGTCATACGGTACCTTTTTTTCTATATTTTGATATAATTCCTATGCTTGTATATTAATTTTATTTCTCTCAGTAAAGTTTTAAAGGAAAAAGTAGCTCCTGGGGCAAACGATGACAATTTTCAATTGGGTAAATAATGACAAATCAAAAAGCTTTTTTAATATTTGAATATGATTTTTCTAATTTATTTGGGACAATATAAGATTAGTTACAAGGCAAGATCCAGAATAAATGTGATTTCAATAAGAAATACTAGCAAATAATGTTACTACTGTTTATCAATAAATAAAAATTTACATGTGGCAGAGTATAGAAATTAATATAAATTACTTTATCTAATAAAAATGTCAAAAGAAAGATCGATTAGGAGTTAAGAATTATGTATTTTGTAATTGTCCCATAAGATGTCATTATTTATCCATAGAGTGAGACATAGTGACAAATGTAGGTTTCATTTTTTATAAAAATCTAGCCTGTATACATGACTTATGAAAACACTAATTAAGTTTTTTGTACATTTGAAAGTGGAAAGTACTCTTTTAGTGAAAAATCATATCTTGTAAACTTGAAATTAGCTTGTAGGAGAGAGAGGAAAAAATCCGTCACTATTTGCCTCCCCTCCCTTATCATTTTTAAATCATCCGAGTAGAATGTTCATTGTTATAATTATATATTATTTATTATTATTATAATATCGCTACATAAATATTATATATCGTTTATTAGGAGCAGCATCACTTTGGCGATCTCGTCAGATTTCAGTGCAATTTTGGCTACGTCTTATCTGGATCTTCGGCTGTAATTTGCACCTCTGCCGGAGTTTGGAATGGAACTATTCCCGAATGTCAATGTAAGTGCAAAACACAAAATTACAATTAAATTTTCGTCGCATTCCCGAAGTATCATGTAGAAAAGGATACGATCTTCCTACAAGAAATATATTTTTTATATTCATACTCAAGTAAATGTAATACATGATCACAGTAACGTAAAATTGACGAAAAATTTTCATCAAGTCTCAGTCAAGATGACATCATTTTGGTCTTATTTAGCCCGCATTCTTTTATACTCTTTCCTCCTCTATCCTTTTTTTTTCAAATAAATTTCTTTTAAAAAAATCCTCGAGTCAAACGTAATATTTTAGTACGCTTAAATATATTTAATGGCGAAATTCTATGAGATTTATAAAGATATAAATCTCATAGAATTTCGCTATTAATTAATATATTTAAATAATTGCGGTTCTTACTTCAAAAAAAGGATTGTTCCTTTAATTTGAATGAATGCCGGCATTCATAAGCTAGGAGTAAAGTTTTCACTCAAATTTTTGGAGCAACTGCATGGCGCACGTCACTAAACATGGACTGTTAAATGACTATAATAGAATGAAATTTCCCACTCAAAAGTGTAGAGTCAATAATTCACTCCTATAGATATTGATCTCGAAAAGAGTGTCCTTCCACTCAAATGAAGTGCGATTTCACTTTAATTTATAGAGCGCAATTTAACTCTTACTTTATAGAGTGTAGCAAATCATTCGAAATGCACTGTCTCAAATTTCACGTTTCGTTATAATTGTATTTTACTCGTTTGACTTATATTTCACTCTTTGAATTTTAAACAGATATCCGGAAAGAACAATTTTGTTGAAAAGTCTAAAAATTTTGCTAAAAACAGATCTGAAAATAATTTGTTGGAAAGTTAAAACTGATAAGTATTGCTATAAAACGTTTTGATATTCTAGCAGTCATTTTGGCTTTCGCACAAAATTATTTTGATTATTGAACAAAAATTATTTTCAGATCTGGATTCAGCAAAATTGTTCTTCCCGTATGAGCTTATTTTCAAAATAATTCAAATGCGTTTTTTTAATTTTTTGCAGACGCGAAATGTGTGTCGCTGCCGGACGATAAGAACGAGGGTCTCACCGTGATCCGAAGCGACGAGGCGAGCGTGCTGGTGCCCTTCAAGCAGAACGTGACCATGAAATGCGGCAGCAACGGCCGCTACCTGCGCAACACCGCGACGTCCGGTTTCCGGCAGTGCGTGTACGATCCCAAGCCCGGCTTGCCCGACTACTGGCTGTCCGGCTTGCAGCCGGCCTGCCCGCGCGTGGAATGCGGCAAGCCGCTTCCCACGCCCGGCGCCGAGTACGGCCAATACTTGGACACCAAGTACCAATCCTCCTTCTTCTTCGGCTGCCAGGACACCTTCAAGCTGGCCGGTCAGACCAACCGCAACGACAACGTCGTGCGCTGTCAGGCCAACGGCGTCTGGGACTTCGGCAACCTGCGGTGCGAGGGTCCGGTCTGCGAGGATCCCGGCAGGCCGAGCGACGGCTACCAAGTGGCGCGCAGCTACGAGCAGGGCTCGGAGGTGCAGTTCGGCTGCAACCGACCCGGCTACATCCTCATCAGCCCGCGGCCGATCGTCTGCATACGCGAGCCCGAGTGCAAGGTCATCAGACCCCTCGGTCTGGCCTCCGGACGTATCCCGGACTCGGCGATAAACGCCACGTCCGAGCGGCCGAACTACGAGGCCAGGAACGTCCGGTTGAACTCGGTGACCGGCTGGTGCGGCAAGCAGGAGGCCTTCACCTACGTGAGCGTCGATCTCGGTCGCGTATACCGGGTGAAGGCGATCCTCGTGAAGGGCGTGATCACGAACGACATCGTCGGCCGGCCCACGGAGATACGTTTCTTCTACAAGCAGGCGGAGAACGAGAATTACGTCGTCTACTTCCCGAATTTCAATCTGACCATGCGCGACCCCGGGAATTACGGCGAGCTGGCGATGATCACCCTGCCCAAGTACGTGCAGGCCCGTTTCGTCATCCTCGGTATCGTCAGCTACATGGACAACGCGTGTCTGAAGTTCGAGCTGATGGGCTGCGAGGAGCCGGTGACCGAGCCGTTGCTGGGCTACGACTACGGATTCTCGCCATGCGTGGACAACGAGGCGCCGGTCTTCCAGAACTGCCCGCAGCAACCGATTGTCGTGCAGAAGGGCGCGAACGGGGAGTTGCTGCCGGTGAACTTCACCGTGCCGACCGCCGTCGACAACAGCGGCAGTATCGCCCGTGTGGAAGTGAAGCCTCAGAGCTTCAAAACGCCCATTCGAATCTTCGAGGACACGTTCGTGAAATACATAGCCTTCGATTACGACGGCAACGTAGCCATCTGCGAGATCAACATCACTGTTCCGGGTTGGTGACAATTACAACTTGATCTGATTTTTTATTTTGCAATAAGATTTAAAAAAAACTCCCAAGAATGTCGAAAATAATAAAGTAGAAAAATAGGGCTAATGGGAGCTACGGCGCGGTAAATAGAGCGCAGATAGTCTTGATGTTTGCGTTAAGGTGGTTTTATCGTGCAAGTCCCAGTCAAAAGTTAGTCCCTCCATATAACTAATAATTCAATAAAAATAAACGTAATTCAATAAAAACATTTCGCATAGACTGTACATATGCGATTGAGTGACATTTACGTGACAATGTCACACCACGAGTCGAGTTGACGTTGAGCGATAAAACCACCTTAAAAGATCTTTAATCGAATATTTGTTAATTTTATTTTATATTTGATCTAGATTTGCTTTGCGTTTTAATAGCGTACTCTTAAAAGTATACCAGTCATTCTATGTGATATTACATTAAAATGTTAATTTAATTAATATTAATTACCCAGCAAACGAAAATGAATTGAAATGGATAGAAATTAATTTATTTCGATATTTCTGAATTGGCGCTTTTGATTTTTCAAAACCATTTGAATCCAAAAATAATATAATATACGGACACTAATACATTAGAATTTACCTAACATGATGAATAGCTCATTTTGTATTTCAATTTATTTGAATCCAAAAGTAATACAATACAGACATGAATTATACATCCGAATTCAACTGTTTAACATGATCAATGAACTCATTTCGTATTTCAATTTATTTGAATTAAAAAAATAATATGATAGGGACGTGAATGCATCTTTTCGACTCTAAAGCGTCAACTCGGATAAATTAAAATGAGTTGCAATTTTTAATTCATTTGAATTAATTTTCGTTTGCCGGGTAATATTAGCTATTTTTATTTTAAATTAATTGATATTCTTATGTCACAGATATAACTCCGCCGAAGCTGAGCTGTCCCCAGAGCTACGTAATCGAGCTGATCGACCGACAGGAGAGCTACTCCATCAATTTCAACGAGACACGGAAACGCATCAACGCCACGGACGCTTCCGGTCCTGTGAAGATCACGTTCGTACCGGAACGCGCGATCATTCGAATCGGCGACTTTGAAAACGTCACGGTGTACGCAACGGACTCCAGCGGCAACAGAGCGACTTGTCACTTCCAAGTTTCCGTCCAGGCGACACCATGCGTCGATTGGGAACTGAAACCGCCGGCTAATGGCGGTCTAAAGTGCGTCCCCGGAGACAAGGGTATGCAGTGCATAGCGACATGCAAGGCTGGGTACAGATTCACCGACGGCTCGCCCGTAAAGACATTCGGGTGTGACGTCAACAAACGGTGGATGCCCTCGTCGGTGGTGCCAGACTGTGTTTCCGAAAGTAAGTTTCTTATTCTTGGATTATCTTTATTTTATTCGGTGCATTACTATTTTATACCATCTCAGTAAACGAGAATGGATTGATTGAGATTGAAAAAAATTCATTTCAACTTTCGCGAATGCGCACTTCTGAAAATCTGAATCCATTTCAATGCCTTTGTATTCATTTGTAGGAATTGCATGAAGCATGTTTTTTTATGCCATTCAATCCATTAAAATTCTGCTTTTAAGAAGTAAATCGTGAATACTGATTAATTTAAAATTCTAGACAGGAAAAATGCAGTTTTTTTCAATCTAATTAAATTTAAAAAAAAGTTTTTCCGCAAAAATGGATCATGAATATTATTCAATTAAAAATTGTGACTAGGAAATGCATTGTTTCAATCCATCTAAATCCAAAACATATTATATTACCTATATTAATATTGTATTATATTTGTATTATAAAAAAAAATAGAATTGCATTCATTTCCACGGAGGCCAAATCCATTTCAATGCATAAATTTAAAAATTTTAATCCATTTTAGTCCTTTCCCGTTTACTATGGGATTTTATCTAATATAATTTATTTATAATAAACTATTGTCTCTCTAGACACACAACAGGCGGATTACCATGTAATTGCCTCGGTAACTTATCGTGCGAATGGCGCCGTTTCTCGATCCTGCCTGCCGATGTACCAGGACCTCATGTCTCAGCATTACACGAATCTTAACAGTATCTTGACTCAACGTTGCTCCGCCATCAACGTGAATATGAACGTGTCTTTCGTCAAATCGATACCTTTACTGATTGAAGAGAATGTTCTCAAGGTATGGATCTTAATTGTACAAGATTTTAATAATTCAAGTTTAATTAAATCAAGAGATTTACTTATTGATGAGAAAAACGAGATCAACACAAATTCTCAACGTAAATTTCAGATGGACTTTATTTTGGTGATCGTTCCGGCGCAACGTCAACCGCAATTGTACGACTTTTGTGGATCCACGTTGAATCTGATCTTCGATTTATCGGTCCCTTACGCGAGCGCAGTTATCGAGCCTCTGTTGAACGTTTCCGCGATTGGCAATCAGTGCCCGCCTCTCCGTGCTCTCAAGTCGTCTATCAGCAGGGGCTTCACGTGTAGCATCGGCGAAGTGTTGAACATGGACACCAACGACGTTCCCCGTTGCCGTAAGTATATATAGCCATATTTCGTATGATGTTTTAATTAAACATTAATGCTTACAATTTTCTTATAAATCAATCTTTAAATAAATTCTACACTACAAGACCTCCTCCTCACGCGTTTTCAGTGCATTGTCCCGCCGGAACCTTCGCCGGGGAGAAGCAGAAGCAGTGCACGGCCTGCCCGAAGGGCTTATACCAGAACAGCGACCGTCAAGGCGCCTGCCTGCGTTGCCCGTTCGGCACGTACACGAAGGAGGAGGGCTCGAAGAGCATAGACGACTGCATACCGGTCTGCGGCTACGGCACGTACTCGCCCACCGGTCTCGTGCCCTGCCTCGAGTGCCCCAGGAACAGCTACACCGGCGAGCCGCCGGTCGGCGGCTACAAGGACTGCCAGACCTGTCCGGCCGGAACCTTCACCTACCAGCCGGCCGCGCCCGGTCGCGATCGCTGCCGCGCCAAATGCTCGCCGGGCATGTACTCGGACACGGGGCTCGCGCCCTGCGCCCAGTGCCCCAAGAACTTCTTCCAGCCGCAGCACGGCGCGACCACGTGCGTCGAGTGTCCCACGAACATGTACACGGACGGGACCGGCTCGGTCGGCCGCGAGGAGTGCAAGCCCGTCCAGTGCACCGACAGCGTGTGCCAGCACGGCGGTCTATGCGTGCCGATGGGACACGGCGTACACTGCTACTGTCCGGCCGGCTTCTCCGGCAGACGCTGCGAGATCGACATCGACGAGTGCGCGTCTCAGCCGTGCTACAACGGTGCCACTTGCATCGATCTGCCGCAGGGCTACAGGTGCCAGTGCGCCAACAGCTACTCCGGCGTCAATTGCCAGGAGGAGAAGTCGGACTGTTCGAACGACACGTGCCCGGAGAGAGCCATGTGCAAGGACGAGCCTGGGTTCAACAATTATACGTGCCTCTGCCGATCCGGATACACCGGAGTCGATTGCGACATTACCGTAAGTGCTTCTCTTTAGCTTCCCAGCAAACGAAAATCAATCCAAAAGTGAATTAAAAATTGCAATTTATTTTAATTTATCCACTGAGAAGAATTTCCAAGCTTTTTCCATTCAAAAAGATCGAATTATTCTTTTAAAAAGTAACAAACGGATATTTACGATCAACTTGATCGGATAAAAAATCCGATCACTAGTTCATCGGAAATATTATATATTGATCACTTTCTTCTTTTTCCTACAATGATCCTATCTTGGTCCCCTCAAGCAGAGATAAACTTGGCCAAGCTTATAATGCACGGATATATATAAGACACCTGGTAGGCCTCGTCGTCGAGTTCAAAAAATTATGCAATACTCGAGCCGAAATGGAACACGTTCACCTCCCTCGCGGACTCAAGTAAAAGACTGGTGACAGCACTGATTGTGAAAAAAGGGGCTTTCCTGATCGGATATCACATTTGACTTGAAAATTTCGTAGGATAAACCGACAACTAGATCGGACATTACAATTGATCGGATAAAATAATCCATTCAAGTATAATATCCGATCTAGTTATCCATTTAGCAGACGAAATTTTACCGAATAATCGTATAGCGGCTCATTTTCCGTTCACATTTTATCGGAAATCACTTTCCATCGGATAAAGGAAATGATTATTTTGTATCTGATCCGTTTATCGATCGAAAAATGATCGGAAAAGAACTTAAGGGCCCTTCCTAGTCAGCCACAAACTCCGCGTTGACGGTGGCGACGTTATATCGCGGTAGAAATTAGTAGCTTCTTGTCGTATATTAGGCCCGTCCTATAATACGTCCTATAATATCGGTGTTTTAAGTCATAAACCGTGATAATTCTACAGAATAATTGTATGCCGATATCGTAAGCAGTATAAAATTGATCAATCACAATCAAATATGAAGAGAATACTCAACAATTAAAGAAAATAACGGACCTACTCTGATCCGTGTGAAAAGTGTAGACAACGAATTTTGTGTTGCGTGCCATTTTGTTATTATGTGCTTAATTGTGAAAATGTGACTTGTCTCGTATTTATCAAAGTCGTAAAAATGGATGGAAACTATAGTTATTGTCGAATTTTATACATAAATGTATCTTTTCCGTTCCTTTCAACAGCAAATCGTGAGTTTTGCTTGAATAAGCTAATTCACTTTACGTGCCTTTTACGACTATTTACTGACTTTCAGGGGGGAAAGGATAGTTTCCATCCATTTTTACAAGCTTTCTAAAGCGATCCTATTTATTAATTTTATCCAAATCCTCTTTATTTAAAAATGGCACGCAACAAACTTTATGTCATTTCTCGCTGTTTCTCGCTTCTGACGTCACGAATCCAATATGGCCGCGGTGACTAGGAAGGGCCCTTAAACGGTTATTTCCAATCAAAACCATTGGACATTTTTCTCAATGTCCGAATTAGCGCTTCAGAGTCCGGAGATGTTGCATGTCTCTATATATATTATTTTTAGATTCAAGTAAATTGAAACACTAAATGGGCTGTTCATCATATTGAATGATATGTATTCATGTCCATATTATATTACTTTTGAATTCAAGTAAATTCGTAAAATCAGAAGCGTCAATTTAGAAATATCGAGATGAATTCATTTCTATCCATTTCAATTCATTTCTCGTTTGCTGGGTTATTTTTCTTTTAAAAAAGCTATGGCAAAATTCGATAAAGGATATGCGATCAAATCTGTATTTTATCTGTAAACCTCAAACATTTTATAATTCCATTTAAACTGAATTCACATGTGTCTAATTTAATATTTTATTTCTGCACTTTTGCAGATAAATCCTTGCACGGCCAGCGGAAATCCTTGCAGCAACGGCGCGACCTGCGTGGCCCTTCAACAAGGCCGCTACAAGTGCGACTGTATGCCAGGGTGGGAAGGTCAGAGCTGCGAGATCAACACCAACGACTGCGCCGAGCGACCTTGCCTGCTCGGCGCCAACTGCACCGACCTGATCGACGACTTCTCCTGCGACTGCCCGCCCGGCTTCACCGGCAAGCGCTGCCACGAGAAGATCGACCTCTGCTCGGGCAATCCCTGCCTGAACGGGATCTGCGTGGACAAGCTCTTCAGCAGCGAGTGCATCTGCCATCCGGGATGGACCGGTCCGGCCTGCGAGACGAACATCAACGAGTGTACGGGCAGGCCGTGCCGCAACAACGGCCAGTGCATCGACCAAATCGACGACTACACCTGCACCTGCGAGCCCGGTTACACGGGCAAGCAGTGCCAGCACACGATCGACGACTGCGCTTCCGATCCCTGTCAGAATGGGGCCACGTGCGTGGACCAGCTGCAGGGTTTCGTCTGCCGGTGCAGGCCCGGCTTCGTCGGGCTGCAATGCGAGGCGGAGATCGACGAGTGCCAGAGCGACCCCTGCAACCCGGTCGGCACCGATCGCTGCGTCGATCTCGACAACACCTTCGTCTGCCACTGCCGCGACGGCTACACCGGGCCGTCCTGCGAGACCAACGTGGACGACTGCGCGTCCGATCCGTGCCTGAACGGCGCGACGTGCAGAGACGAAGTCGGCGGCTTCAAGTGCGTGTGCCCGGAGGGATGGAGCGGGACGCACTGCCAGACGGACGTCGGCATGTGCCAGAACCGACCGTGCCAGAACGACGCCACCTGCGTAGATCTGTTCATGGACTACTTCTGCGTGTAAGTCCACATATACTGCAATCTCTGCAATGTTTTATTGTGCGATTAATAACCCAGTAAACGGGAAAGGATTAAAATGGTTTAAAATTTTTTAATTCATGGATTGAAGTGGATTTTGGCCTCCGTGGAAGTGAATGCATTTCTATTTTATAATACGAATATAATATAATATTTTTTGAATTAAGTGGATTGAAATACAGTCGAATACTCGATAACTCAAATCTCAAGGGAGGAGCTATAAAAATCTTTAAGTTATCGAAGCTTCGATTTATCAAAGTTTGAGTAAAAGAGAATTGACATGAAAATTCGAACTTACGGAAGCTTTGTACGAGAGTTTATAATTTCCGATTACAATGGCTTTTAAAGGAATTCGAGTTTTCGAGTTATAGAGGTTCGAGTTATCGAGGTTCGAGTTATCGAGGTTCGACTGTAATGCATTTCCTGGTCACAATTTTTAATTGAATAACATTCGTGGTTCATTTTCACAAAAAACTATATTTCATTATAAATCATATATTTTTTTAATTTAATTAGATTGAAGGAACTGTAATTTCTTATCTAGAATTTTAAATTAGCCAGTATTCACGATTTATTTTTTAAAGCTGAACTTTTTTGGATTGAATGGCATAGAAAATGTGCTTCACGCGATTCTGTAAATGAATACAAAGGCATTGGACATTGAAATGGATTTAGATTTTCAGAAGTAGGCATTCGAACGTTGAAATGAATTTTTTTCAATCTACTTCAATCTATTCTCGTGTACTGGTAAAATTCGTTGGTATATACCGAGTTTTTAATCCGACAGCTGCCCGTCCGGCACTGACGGCAAGCAATGCGAAACGGCGCCGGAGCGCTGCATAGGAAATCCGTGCATGCACCACGGCAGCTGTCAAGATTATGGTTCCGGCTTGAATTGCACTTGCCCTAACGATTACATCGGCATCGGCTGTCAATACGAATATGACGCTTGTCAAGCCGGTGCTTGCAAAAACGGGGCCACTTGCATTGACGAGGGTCCTGGATTTACCTGCATATGCCCTCCAGGATATACCGGTATGATTTCAATTATGTCTATCAATTAGCAATAAATCCATCAACTAAGTTTGTCCATTAAAAATTGTTTACTTAAACACATTTATTATTTCGACACCATTAATTCTATTAATGGTCCATCAACTAAGTTTGTCCGTTAAAAATTTGTTTATTTAAACACATTTATTATTTTAACGCTATTAATTCTATATTAATGGGTCCATCAACTAAGTTTGTCCATTAAAAATTGTTTACTTAAACACATCTATTATTTCAAGACTATTAATTCTTTAATTATCTGCATCAGGCAAAACTTGCGAGGAAGATATAATCGACTGCAAAGAGAATTCTTGCCCACCCTCGGCAACCTGTATCGATCTCACGGGCAAATTCTTCTGCCAGTGTCCGTTCAATTTAACTGGCGACGATTGCAGAAAATGTACGTTTCTCAGATTATTTTTTTTTTTTACTAAAATATTACATTAGAGAAATAATTAATTTTCATCGTTCAATCTTGGTTTCAAATTCTTGTAGCTATCCAAGTGGACTACGACTTGTACTTCAGCGATCCTGGACGCAGCAGCGCCTCGCAGGTCATTCCATTCTTCACCGGATCCACAAAGAGCCTAACTGTCGCTATGTGGGTGCAGTTTACGCAGAAAGACGAAGCCGGAATTTTCTTTACTCTTTATGCTGTCAGGTACAGAGTTATTTATATTTTTGTTACACTTCTAATCTTCTTCTATATAGAAATTCCAGCAAACGAAAATGAATTCAAATGAATAGAAATGAATTCGTTTCGACATTTTCGAATTGATTTTTCGAATCCATTTGAGTCAAAAAATAATATAATACAGACATGAAATATGAATACATATCAGAATTCAACGATGAATAGCTCATTTCGTATTTCAATTTATTTGAATTCAAAAATAATATAATACAGACATGAATACATCCTAATTCAACGATGAATAGCTCATTTCGTATTTCAATTTATTTGAATCCAAAAATAATATAATACAGAAACATAAATGCATCTTCGGACTCTAAAGCGCCAATTCGAATAAATTAAAATGAATTGCAATTAAAATCAATTCATTTGAATTAATTTTCGTTTGCTGAGCTATTTGAAATGAATTCATTCTGACATTTCTGAATTGGCGCTTCTGATTTTCCGTTTGAATCTAAAAATAATATGATACGGACGTGAATACATCAGAATTCAACATGATGAATAGCTCATTTCAATTTATTTGAATCTAAAAATAATATAATAGAGACATGAATGCATCTACGGACTCTCGGCGCCAATTAGAATAAATTAAAATAAATTGCAATTCATTTGAATTAATTTTTGTTTGCTGGAAAGAGAGAGCTTAATAATTTGCATATTTTCTTTTCAAGTAGCACACGGATATATACATATATTACATCTTTTCTTCAGCTCGCCGCACGTGCCCACGAACCGAAGACTTATGATCCAGGCGCACAGTAACGGTGTCCAGGTGTCCCTCTTCCACGATCTGCAAGACGTCTACCTGCCATTCAGAGAGTACGCGACCATAAACGACGGACAATGGCATCACGTCGCTGTTGTGTGGAACGGCGAGAACGGCGGGGAGCTCATTTTAATCACAGAAGGCCTCATCGCCAGCAAGACTGAGGGCTACGGTAGCGGCAGATCGCTCCCGGCATAGTAAGTGCCTCTTCGAAAGAGATGTCTCATAAATTACAATGTCATTTGCTTCTCGACCTGCTTCTCCGCGATGTTTCCTTTTCCCGTATAACGTATTGCAACATCAATATATTATAATCGGCAATTAAAATTTTTCGCAGCGCATGGGCGGTGCTGGGAAAACCGCAGAGCCAGAATACAAAGGGCTACACGGAATCGGGCTTCCAAGGTCACCTGACCAAGGTCCAGGTCTGGGGCCGTGCGTTGCACGTGACGAACGAGATTCAGAAGCAGGTCCGCGACTGCCGCACGGAGCCGGTACTCTATCAGGGCCTGGTGCTGACGTGGACGGGATACGACGAGACCGCGGGCGGCGTCGAGAGGGTCGTGCCGTCGCACTGCGGCCAGCGAGTCTGTCAGCCCGGTTACGGCGGCAACAAGTGCCAGCAGCTCGAGGTCGACAAGATCCCACCCGCGGTGGAGCACTGCCCGGGCGATCTCTGGGTGATCGCGAAGAACGGATCGTCGATCGTCACCTGGGACGAGCCGCGCTTCAGCGACAACGTCGGCGTCATCAGGAAGCAGGAGAAGAACGGACACCGACCCGGGCAGACTCTGCTGTGGGGCACCTACGACATCAGCTACGTGGCTTACGATCACGCTGGAAACTCGGCTACTTGCAACTTCAAAGTTTACGTTTTGTGTAAGTAAAGTGGTCTCCTCTCGGCTTATTTTTAATCTAATAAATCGCCGAAATGTTTCTCCAAAAAATAATATTTTTTTCTATTTCGGCATCGATATTATTGAACTGTTAGTTAATTTAATTCGATATTAGCTACTCCAGCTTCAGTTTTAAGACTGTCCCAGTAAATTAGAATGAATTAAAATAGATTTTTTTAAAAATTCATTTCAACGTTCGCAAATGAATACTTCTGAAAATCTGAATTAATTTCAATGCCCAATGCCTTTGTATTCATTTATAGGAATTGCATGAATCACATTTGCCATTCAATTAAAAAAAAATTCAGCTTTGAAAAGTAAATTGTGAATACTGGTTAATTCAAAATTCTAGATAGAAAATGCTGTTTTTTCAATCGAATTAAATTCAAAAAAAGTTTTTCTTGAAAATGGGCCATGAATGTTATTCATCTAAATAAAATAAAAAAATTTGATGGATTGAAACAATGCATTTCCTAGTCACAATTAATATAATATAATAATAATAATAAATAATAATATTATATTAATATTATATTAAAAATATATTATATTCGTATAATGAAATAGAAATGCATTAATTTTCATGGAGGCCAATCCATTTCAATCTACGAATTAAAAAAATTTAATTCTTTCCCGTTTATTGAGGTATTTCTGAAAGTTATAAAAATTTACACAAAAATATTATTAGACATTAAGATGTTTCGCTTTGATCGAGAATAAGACTTCTTCGTCGCTTATTTGTGTTATTCTATATCGGTCAATTTCCACTTGTTATTATACATTCTTTTTTGGAGGTTGTTGCGAACGCGCGTAAATTTTCGAAGTTTACGCGAATTCTTCTCGTTGCAGCCGACTTTTGCCCGATACTGGACGACCCTGTCGGCGGCACGCAGCAATGCAAAGACTGGGGTTCGGGAGGCCAGTTCAAGGTCTGCGAGATTTCCTGCAACTCCGGGCTCCGGTTCTCGCAGGAGGTCCCCAAATTCTACACGTGCGGCGCGGAAGGTTTCTGGAGGCCTACCAGCGATCCCAGTCTACCTCTGGTGTATCCAGCTTGTACGAGTAAGTATCTCGTATACATTTGATTAGTTTCCTCTTCTCTCTAAATCTGAATCGGTGGAAAAGTACTGAAAAATCACTGATTGAGTCAGTACCTATATAATAAATCTAACTGAAATTTCATTAATAATCTATAATTAAACTATTAATATATTAATCTATAATTTCACTGATTACCAGTGAAATACCTGGAACTGATGCATTCAATGAATAATCATTGATAATCAGTGATTATGCACTCATTTATAATAGATTTAAAGAATTACGATCGTTTTAAACGGCATCCACAATGAGACTTAATCCGTAAAGGACACCTGGGTGTGAATTCGCACCGAGCGAATTTTTTTATATAGTTTTATATCTTCTGAAAATAAAAAGCAAAATTAAAACAAAATGTGTTTCTCAATTGTCTGATGGATTGGTAATATTAAATTTTCGAAAAAAGAACGTAATTGTTTTCAAATTTCGGGTTAAACAAAACCATTCAAAAGAGAGGTGTCCTTTACGGATTAAAACTTTAAGAAAATTGACCAATCATAGTCGATTACTCGTCTCACGTGAGAAAAATAGTCGATTGTGATTGTGATTGTGATTGTGTGAATTTTCTTAAATCTTAAGTCTTAAAAATCTCATTGTAGACCGTGCATTATATTCTAAATAACTTAACGTGTACTTTGCTTCAGGCGCTTCGTCAGCCCAAAGGGTCTTCAGGATCAAGATGAACTTCCCCACATCGGTGCTCTGCAACGAGGCCGGCCAGGGTGTGCTCAAACAGAAGGTCCGAAATGCCGTCAACTCCTTGAACAGAGACTGGAACTTCTGTTCGTACGCTTACGAAGGTAACACGCAATTTTCAGTAAAAAAAATCATTTGATGGATTGAAACAATGCATTTCCTAGTCACAATTAATATAATATAATAATAATAATATATAATTATATTATATTAATATTATGTTAAAAATATTATATTATATTATGAAATAGAAATGCATTCATTTCCACGGAGGCCAATCCATTTCAATCTACGAATTAAAAAATTTTAATTCCTTTTAATTCTTTCCCGTTTATTGGGGTATTTCTGGAAATTGTAAAATTGGAAATTATAAAAATTTACACAAAAATATTATTAGACAACAAGATTGTTCGGATTATCAGTTGCTCAGTAAACGGGAAAGGATTAAAATAGATTAAAATTTTTTAATTATGGATTGAACGCCTTTCTATCTAATGCATTTCTATTTTTTCATAATATACGAATATAATAAAATATGTTTTGGATTTAGATGGATTGAAACAATGCATTTCCTAGAATCACAATTTTTAATTGAATAACATTCACGATCCATTTTCACGGAAAAACAAATTTTTTGAATTTAATTGGATTGAAAAAAAAACTGCATTTCCTGTGTTTAGAATTTGGAACTAGCCAGTATTTACTTTTTAAAGTTGAATTTTTTTTATTGAATGACATAGAAAATGTGCTTCATACAATTCCTGTTTAACGAATACAAAGGCATTGGACATTGAAATGGATTCAGTTTTTTAGAAGTACGCATTCGCGAACGTTGAAATAAATTTATTTCAATCCATTCTTGTTTACTGGGTATGATGGCACGTCTTCCATTATGTATGTCCTTACACCTTCACTTATTGTTTCTCAAGGAACTCGCGAGTGCAAGGATCTTGATATCGACGTGCAGTGCGATCATCGCATACGCGCAACGAGAGAGACGAGCGAGGAGGACGGTGGGACGTACGTCGTTTCCGCCGTTGTGCCCGCGGAACCGTAAGTGTGCTCAAATTATGATCTTCTACTTGACAAACGTCTTGGGAAAATTTTGCCGTTCAACCGTTCGCATCGGTGCGAGTCGCATTTCTTAAAACGTACGTCGCTCGACTCGCTAATCGCTTTAAATGCATTCTCGTCTTCTTTATGTTCATTTTTACCAATGTAGATTAACTTTAATCACGGTTTTATTTACTTTTTATCTTGTTCTAATTCTTAAAAGTAGAAAAAGATACAAAGTAAGTTAAACCTGGAATTAAAGTTAATCTACCTTGGTAGAAATAGACATTAAAGTAATTTGCGATGTGTGTAAAATTCAATCGTGGCTTGCTTTTGCGTATCTCGATCATGTTTATCGGTTCACGCTTAACTGTCAGATACTGCAACTGCAATATCGTATATCGACTTTATTGTCCGCGCCGCGCGCATCTCGCTCACGCAGTGAATCTTCGTACTGAGTATTTTTGTTACTTGTGTTGCATCATACAGAACGAGAAAGGGTCGCCAAGGCAGTGACACCTACGAGGTGGAGATCTCGTTCCCGGCGATAAAGTAAGGACAGCTCGATTCACGCCAGCGCGATCACATTCAATTCATTTATACATACGTCTTACCCGCCCTGCATCCGTCTCACATCATCTCTAATACGTTACCATTTCATTTCATATATCATCAGTGGAGTTTGTTCATGATTACCCGCGTTAATCGCGTTTCAGCATTCCCATGGTCCCTATGGTACAGTAGCATACGACAATCAGCATAACTCTCATCAGATTTGTAATAAGCATCGAAAAGTCATCGAACAAATCATGTACTAACGACTAATCTTATACGGCCAAGCGAAGTCGGGGGATCAAGTCTCATATAGAAACTGTATGAAAGTAAAAGTACGTTCTTGCACGTTCTTGTACTAACGACCGATCACGACCGATCACCATACATACAGGTGGGACGTCAACGTAGCGAGCTGCAACAGGTGTCCACATATACATATTTTCCGACAGTGATAACAAGTGTAACAAAGTCAAGATTTATAACCAAATCTGTGGGATCGTTTAGCATTTTTTTTCCATTTTATTAAAGAGAAATCTATTATTCGATCAAGATCGCATAGAATCGAAAACTCAAGTCAAAATCATAAGCTTCATGAAAATTAATTGACTACAATTTTAAAAAATGACATATTTGATTCGCTAATTCACATAATTTTACAACAATCTTGGCCACAAAACTGTATCTTCAATTTATTGCATTTTAAGATGATAATAGAAGCCAAGATTATTAAATTAATAATAATATTACAAAATATTAAAATTATTATAAAAATATTATTTTTTATTTTACTTTTCGTTAAATGTAGAAAGTTTACGTCAATTTGTGAAGGTGCTTTATCTTTACGGCTTTACGACCAATGCTGTAACACGTGCCCGCTTAACAGTGACCCAACAGCTTCGGTTTACAAATGACAATTCCAATGTACATTCGACAACAAACGTGAATCAACGTGACGGCGAATAAATACAGAAATTTGCGTGTATTAATTAAAATTAAGGGCATGAGTGCGGTTTATAACCTGCGGTGCGGTATACGAGTCTACTGACGAGGATCCTGGTCCAAAGACAAGGGCTGCCTTAACTACACTCATCTCAAGATAACGGCTGTATATACTTGCGCAAATCCTTCCAAATCCGCCTGTTGCTACCGCCAATATTCCATCGGTTTGCAGAACGATAATTCTCGTTTCGTGTTTCGCAGCGATCCGATCCTGAACGCTAACTCGAACGAGCGCTCTACCGTGCAAATGCTGCTCGAAAGGCTCATCCTCGAGGAGGACCAATTCGACGTTCATGATATTCTGCCTAACACCGTGCCAGATCCCGCGTCTCTCGTCCTTGAATCCGATTACGCCTGCCCGATTGGCCAAGTTGTTATGGCACCGGATTGTGGTAAGGCACTATGTTTCATAAATTAGGGTAACTGTCCCTATTAGTGTGCTTTTATACTTAAATAAGTCATAAAAATAAACTGGTACAAATAAATAGACAAAGTATTTTTTTTTATTAAGTTAATACTTTAATTTTAGGGACAGGCACACTAATAGGGATAGTTACCCTATTATATTAAAAATAATTTCTTTGAAATGACCAAATCCAATCTTCATCCCCGGGATAAAAATATATCTTTGTTTAATTTTAGAAAATTTATTTCATAAATGTTGTAGGTAATAAAAGGTCATTAAGCCGATTAAGTATTGTATAGAAAATCAGAATAGTTATAATGAGAGTGGAGCGGTCGTGGGGCGTAGCGCTATAATTATAAGTACTAGAAGTGAAAAAAGGAGTTTGACCGCAAATTGCAATCGGCTTAATTTTTCCAGAGTTGTCGCTAATATTTCTTGCCGTGTGATTGTAAATGTAGCAGCAAATCATCACTGATTCTTTCCCGTTAACGTCTTAAATTCCACAATATCGCAATGTGCTTTCTGACGATAAACTCCTAGTAAATATGAAAGGATTAAAATGGATTAAAATTTTTAATTTATGGATTGAAATGGATTTGGCCTCCGTGGAAATAAATACATTTCTATTTTTTCATAATACGAATATAATGTAGCATTAATATAATATAACATTAATATAATATAATGTTTTTTGGATCTAAATGGATCGAAACAATGCATTTAGTCATAATTTTTAATTGAATAACATTCATGATCCATTTTTACGGAAAAACTTTTTTTGGATTTAATTAGATTGAAAAAACTGCATTTTCTATCTAGAATTTTAAATTAACCAATATTCACGATTTACTTTCTAAAGCTGGATGTTTTTTTTCTATTGAATGGCATAGAAATGTGCTTCATGCAATTTCTATAAATGAATACAAAGGCATTGAAATGAATTCAGATTTTCATAAGTATACGCATTTGCGAAAGTTGAAATGAATTTTTTTTTTCAATCTATTTTAATCCATTCTTGTTTATCGGGCTGCCAGTAAAAGCATTTCGAGAGAAACTCGATCTGATTATTCGACGCAATTCTCTTGCAGTACCGTGCGCGGTGGGCACTTTCTACGACGAGGAGACGAGGCAATGCGTGTCCTGTCCCGTGGGCACTTACCAGAGCGAGTCCGGGCAATTGAGGTGCAGCTCCTGCCCGGTGATCGCCGGCCGTCCCAGCGTGACCGTGGGTCCCGGAGCGCGTAGCGCGGCGGACTGCAAGGAGCGCTGTCCCGCCGGCAAGTATTACGACGACCTGGCCGGTCTCTGCCGCAACTGCGGCCATGGATTTTACCAGCCGAACGAGGGCAGCTTCTCCTGCCAGCTGTGCGGCCTCGGGAAGACCACGCGAACGGCCGAGGCGGTGTCGCGGGAGGAGTGCCGGGACGAGTGCGGATCCGGGCAGCAGTTGGCCGTCGAAGGGAAATGCGAGCCCTGTCCACGTGGCACGTACCGTACCCAAGGGGTGCAGGCGTCCTGCCAGCTCTGCCCGCTCGGCAGAACGACCCCGAGCATGGGATCGGCGGCGGTCGAGGAGTGCTCGCTTCCGGTCTGCGAACCCGGCACCTTCCTCAACGGCACGCTCAACGAGTGCGTGGAGTGTAAGAAGGGAACCTACCAATCGGAGCCGCAGCAAACCTTCTGCATCCCGTGCCCGCCGAACACCAGCACCAAAGGAGCTGCTGCTGTAAGTTTTTTTTTTTTTTATATTAACTCGAGAATAATTATCTTATTTTTTTTCTTCTTAGACGATGTGAACGATCGCCTGGAGGAATTTCTAGACTCCGGCAAATTTCAGTAAATTATAACTATGAATGTATACGCATCGTAAACTCTTTTTATTATGGAGATTAGGTCTCGGAAACTTCAACTGAAAGGTGTAAGCACGGATTTCGGTTCGATAGAAAAAAAAACTACTGCGACGTGGACTTAATTTTTCCAACGTTGGAATGTAAAAAAAAACTTTTTAAGTGACATTAATGAATATAATTCCCCGAAGAAATTACCTGCGTAAATGTAAAAAATGTAATTTGTAAAATTTCTATATAAATTTTGTAATCTTGGCCATATAAAATAATATAAAGCATTCTCAATTTATTGCATTTTGTTAAAAGAACGGTACACTGAGAAAAAAATTTGTTGAAAAACACAAAATTGGTTTCATCTTACCAAAATATTTCGTCCGATACGATTAACTAAACGTTACTACGACACAAAATAATTTTGTTGCTATTGTAAACAAAATCCTATATTTTAACTATTTAAACTATTTTGTTTCAACAAAAATTTATCGTATTTAACTCAACCGTTCGATTAAAAATACACACTATTTATTATCCTCATCACCATCGTTTAGTCAGTTTAATATTTGGAATTTGAACAAATATATTACTTAGATAACTAAATAGCATGCAAACACAAATAAATATTACTAATTTTTCGAACAAAATAATTTAATTGAGTTGGTTTAGTTAATTCTTGATTAAAAATTTTTGATGGTTGACATGAATGAACTATACTTTTCTTTGTGCAATTAAAGAATTGTTAAATCAATCATTGGATCAAACAACCGTACGAATTTAATTTGTTCAATTTTTTTTCTCAGTGTAATAAAAGTGAAAAGGGAAAATTAAAAATTATTAAAATTATATTATAAAAAAATATTATTTTTTAATAAAACTGTTTTAAAACGCTTTTAATAATACTTTCCATTATATAGATATGGAATATTTACGTTAATTTGTGGGAGTGCTTTGTACTTAAGGTCAAGGTTATATTTTGGCAATTTATTTAATATAAAATTATTTAACGATGTATGGAAAGTCGAGACGGTGTGACAACATCTATACGATTGTCAACAGACAAGCAAGGCGGACTGCACGAATCCCTGCGAGACCAGCGGCGAGGAGATGCACTGCGACGCAAACGCGTACTGCCTGCTTATACCCGAGACGAGCGATTTCAAGTGCGAGTGTAAGCCCGGTTACAACGGCACCGGGACCGTGTGCACGGACGTGTGTCTGGGCTTCTGCGACAACGAGGGCGTCTGCCTGAAGGACTCGCGCGGACAGCCGTCGTGCAGATGCAGCGGCAGCTTCACGGGCAAGCATTGCACGGAGAAGTCCGAGTTCTTCTACATCACCGGCGGCATAGCGGGCGGTGTTATCTTGATTATTATCGTCGTGCTGCTCGTCTGGATGATTTGCGTCAGGTTGGTAAAAGAATTCGATTAATCTATACGCGCGCGCGCGATAACGATCGCGTATCTGCAGCGCGATATCAGAAGCCTCTTCTCGTTCATTCGTGTGTCACGAAAAATTTTCGAATATTATTTAAATATAAACCGTACACGGAAAGAACAATTTTGCTGGATTCAGATCGGAAAATAATTTTTGTTCAACAATCAAAATAATTTTGTGGAAAAATCAAACTATATATAAGAATAGCAAAACGTTTCATAGCAATGCTTATCATTTTTATAACATTCCAACATAATTTTTTGATGATTCAACAAGAATTAATTTTTAGATCTGTATTAATTATAGTTAATAGGCATTATTGAAATAAAATAAATAATAATGTATAATTAGCTTATTTTTGCAAAAAAAAAGATTTTTAAATGTGATTATTTAAATAAAATATTTGTTAAATATTAAAATTGTCAGAATTTATATTTAATTAATAAAATGTAACGCATCGTTTTTTTTAGAAATTCGCATTAGCGTACAGCAAAATTTTTAAACCTTTCAAAATCGTTCTTTCCGTGTATCTCTCTTATAAATTAGTATTTAATTAACGAGACATCTCTCCTTTTCTACACAGAGCCTCCAGAAAGAAGGAGCCGAAGAAGATGCTGACTCCGGCGACTGACCAAAACGGCTCCCAAGTAAACTTCTATTACGGCGCGCCAACACCGTACGCCGAGTCGATAGCGCCGTCGCATCACAGCACGTACGCTCATTATTACGACGACGAGGAGGACGGCTGGGAGATGCCCAATTTCTATAACGAGACTTACATGAAAGGTAAGCGAATAATGATATGAAATATCCCGTGCGCGCAATCGAGTTTGTAACTTAAGTTTTAACCGTCGTCGGCGCGGATTATTCTCACAAAATAAATACGAAGTATTAGAATAATAAATAATCCGTAATGGGAATTTTTTTAATTTACGTTGCAAAGTCAAGAATAATTACTCATATAATAATATTTATATAATTAATAATAAATGATTTATAAATATTATTAATTGGAGGTGTGCGAATCAAGCATGATTGAATCGAATTTTTTATAACATGTTCGAAATCGAAACAAATCGAATCTGAATAAAATTTTCTCAGATTAACATTACATGTTAATTTAAACGTGATAAATATCAAAATTTATGATTTACATTATTTTACGCAATAATTTAAACAAACTAAAAACCTGTTTTCGATTTATATCTCATTACAAAGAATCATGATCTTATATGTGACATTTTGAACTAGAAAATATTAATATGTGTATACACGAATAGTTGGAATGCTTTCGAATATTTTATTAATCTATATGAATACATATATCAAAAATACTTATTTATTAGATAAGAATAATTGATCGCGCGCGGGAGATGCAAATGAATCAAATAAAATAGGCGATCGATACGAAATCTAACAATAATAGTTGATTCGAAATTCTCGAACTATTCGACTTCGAATCTTGCGCGGAAAGAATAATTTTGTTGAAAGATCTAAAAATTTTGTTAAAAACAGATCTGAAAATAATTTTTTGTTGAATCATCAAAATAATTTGTTGGAATGTGAAAACTGATAAGCATTGCTATAAAACATTTTGATATTCTAACAATTATTTTGACTTTCGCACAAAATTATTTTGATTATTGAACAAAAATTATTTTCAGATCTCGATTCAGCAAAATTATTCTTTCCGTGTACAGATTCGAAAACGAACTCGAATCGAATCTACCGTGATTAGATTTGATTCGATTCGAATTCAAACTATTCGCACACCTCTATAATATTAATGTATAATAATATTTAATGTATAATAACACAATGATATGTAATTAATTCACATTGATCTGATATCAATTTGTTTTTCTTCTTTCACAGAGAGCCTGCACAACGGGGGCAAGATGAACAGTCTTGCCCGATCGAACGCCAGTATTTACGGCACAAAAGACGATCTTTACGACAGACTGAAGCGTCACGCGTATACCGGTAAAAAAGGTACAATCCCGCAACTACCCTCGTAATCATACGTCACTACTAAATCAACGCCGGCCTCATCACACGTGCGGCCGTCCGAAAAAAAAAGTATATACCGCCAACAGAGGGATCGGATGTGCGACAAGCCTCGCGCGCGCGCGCGCACACACGACCGGCAACTTATTTATTAATTAATTTAAGCCTATATACATCACGCTCTCCCTCTCGTCTTCTTACACTTGTCACTATATAGAGCATGTAACAAGTTTAAAACCCGCGCCGCTTGTTCTTTATATCTGCTGATTCGGCAGATTTGGAAACGACGGACGGCGCGCGGCGCGCGCGCGCGCGCGCGCGCTATATATGTATCTCTCAGAAAACGCGCGCGTTGCGTTGCGGCGCTGCAGCAAAAATAACATTACGAAATGTCCATATTTTGCAGATAAGAGCGACAGCGACAGCGAAGGCCAGTGACCGGGTAGAACAATGAACTTTCACGCCAACACGTAGAGAAAAGTACGAAAAAAAAAGAGCGGGAGATATCAGAGTGTAATCAGACGGGACGACGACGGGTGTGTGTCTCATCCTTCGTGCGACGTCGTGTCGTCGTTGCTCCTACCGACCCGATCGACGGATCTTGTGTTATTTATTGCATTTACCATTCTCTCTGTATACGTTACGTCGCGCGAGATCCGCGAGATCGTATCCGACCGCGTGACCGGATGTGAGGGGGGAGAGAGAGAGAGAGAGAGAGAAAGAGTACGAAAGAGAGAGAGAGAGAGAGAGAGAGAGAGACCCGGTCGCGGAATCGCGAGATCTCGCGTCGCGACGCACAAGAGATGCGCTTCGATCGACGCAACTGGCGAGCGACGCAAGAGTCCTGGAACGACGATCGGCGAGACCCGGTCGGCACATCCGATCGTCGCTTCGGCACGCTTCGGTCCCGGTGGCGCGCGGCGGAGAGCCGCGCAATTGAGAGCGAAAAAGAAAGGACAAAGAGAAAAAGGAAAACGTGACCCGCGTCCGTCCTTCGGAGTGAAATTCGACGCGCGTTCGATAATTAAAAAAAAAAGACTCACGCGCGAGGTTGTAATTTTTTATTTTTTTTTTTGTAATTTAATAGAACGTTAAGGACGTCCTCCTCCTCCTCCAGTCACCATCATCACCCCTCCCCCCCCCCTCCGTCTCTCCCCATTCCTTCTCTTTTTATTAACTCATACGATCGATGGTGCGTACGTGAGAGAAACTGTGTGCTTGTATGTTAAATATAACTATATATATATACGTACGTGGATTTATATTTTGTTATACTTCGGAAGGTATACGCATCACACGTGTTTGTAATATAATAAGTGCTGCGGGCGCGCAACGATTGCGCAACGGGGAAAAGTCCGGCGAGATTTTGAGCTTTGATTTTGGCGATCGAAAAAAAAAAGAGAGAAGAAGTTAAATTGAGGAAGAAGGAAAATCTCGTGGAAAAAACCCCGCGCCGCGCGAGAAGACACGCAGTTCCACTCGCGATGACCAAAAGAAAAAAAAAAGAGGAATACTGAGAACATTTGCAGTGTACATTCTTTCGCGCGACAATAATCTCTCTGTAAAGAAAAGAAAGAAAAAAGAATAATTGGGAATGTGTAGAATCGCCGGGTGTGACGATGAAACGATGACCTCTGTGCCTGCGCGGCGAGCGTGCACCAAACGATGCCTACCACGCTGTTTTCCATTTATGTGTTGTAAAAACTTTAACAAATAGTTGTTTTTTATTAATAAAATGTATTTCAGTAAAGCTTTATTTGTACTTTTATTTTACTTATATATGTATTTTATTCATATATGTTTTATTTGCGCGATTGCACGGAAAGCACGATTTTATTGAAAGGTCTAAACATTTTGCTAAATATAGATCTGAAAATAATTTTTTATTGAATCATCAAACTAATTTGTTGGAATATTAGAACTAATAAACATTGCTATAAAACGTTTTGATATTCTAGCAATCATTTTGACTTTCGCACAAAATTATTTTGATTATTGAACAAAAATTATTTTCAGATCTGGATTCAGCAAAATTGTTCTTTCCGTGTGTGTATCCCAAAAAGTCCTCAGGCATGTAAGACAGTAATCACCGTCCCGCGTCGAAACCCTTTTTACTTTTGTTTTAATTCCTCTCTGCTCACTCTTACTGCTATTACCCTGTACATTCTCTGCTTAAGTTCGTCACTGGTCTTACTCAATCGGGACGTGCCGGGTGACGCGATTCTATCCGCCATTCCCAGATCGATGCGAGCATCCGCATTGTCGTCTACGAAATTGGTATCGTCGCCATCGGTCGCGTCGCTTCCCACACGCACATCGTCGGATTCAATTAAACTTGACCTTTCGCGCTCCTCGCGCTCTGTTAAAGGCAAAAGTAGAACAGCATATAGAATATATTTGAATTGAATAACAATATATGGAGTGGAATACGAAATGAGAAAAAAATTCCACGCTGACTTTTTATGTGCTGCAGAATATTGAGTGCACGGCCAACGTCTGCGTCGTCCCGGTTTCGTTTTAATACTGTTAATAATAAAGATTACGCTTTAATTTCCTGCCCTTTCACCAGTTTTAAGTAAAATAGTATTTATACAGCGTGATTGCAATAAAATTATTAATTAACTCTTACGTCGATCCCCAACGTCGCGAGCCTTCGCGTAATCTTTTGTCATTAGAGCGATCACGAACTGAAACACGCATAAGGCTCTTGGTTATCATCCATCAATTTTCGGCAAAACTATAAATTTTAAACTCTTTCGTAATAAATATTTAACAATACTTCATTAAATATTAAATAATATATACTTCAATGCGATCCTCATAACTCGCTCCGCGCTCTCGATTCATCGTTTTTTTTAAAGCATGCTTTTTATTTTTGCGCCTCACCGATAACCATTTTCAGTCAGAGATAAGAGAATTTCACAGAATTTCGCGCTTATCACAAACTGATTACAGAGCGAGGTATAACATAAATACTTGGTAACATTTTAGACCTACGAATCTAATTTTACTCGGGCAAAAACTTTTAATGTTTTATACAAAAAATTTATTACAAAATGATTTTATTTGATACTAAATGCAATTTAGAGATGCCCGAATATGCTCAAATTAATCAGAAAAACAATTGAACATGCATAAAATTCATATGTTATACGCACACACATATTTGTTAATAACTTCAAATAAATTTTAACGGAATTAAAATTTATAATTTAATAATTGAATTATAAATTATAAATTAAATTTCAAGTTATAAATAAAATTTTCTCCCAGTTTTTCTCTTTGATATTAAATATTAAAAAATTATTATATCACTTTTTAATATTTAATGTCAAACGTTATGAAAACGAAATCCAGCGGCTCACCGGGCTATTATAAAGCTATCTGATGTCATGTAGGAAATCCCGTTTCTCACAGTCGGGAGACTGCAGTAGTTCGTGAGATGCTATGATAATTATATACGTGGGCGAAAAAGGAGAGAGGTCGTTGGTATGCGGAATGCGTCACTGCCAAGAAAGACCCTTCAATTTATTCAGTTTCCTTATACGAATTCGCAGAAGAAACAGTCCTCAGAAGATGTATTGTACAATCATAAATTATTCCAGAAGTCTCTCTTTTTTTTCACGATAAAAATAAACAAATGTTATTTTGAAATAAGTCTCGAATAGAGATTCAGTTTACGCTTCGACGGAATAAACACTTTCGGTATAAAAAGCAAATGTAAAAGACAATAGGCGATTATTTGCTGTTTGAAACGATCGCGAAACTATACTTCTCGACTGTGGCTTTCTCAATCTTCTCGAGCAGAGTGTTGAAGCATAGTTTACACAATGCTTCTTTTTTACCAGCAGCTAGAGCGCTGGTCTTCTAGCAAACTAAAAAATTAGCACTTAAAAAAATACATAATTCTGTAAATTCTATATTCTTTTTAGAAAACTAACAGCTAAAAGTATATAATTTATAAAATTACATTTCTTTTTAGCTGTTAGCTTTCTAATTTTGCTGCTATAGTTTTAAGACAAACGTACCATTATAATGAACATGTATCTATATCTGAACACGTACACAAAATGTATTAACTTCAAATGCTTTTTTAATATTATAATATCAAAATGTAATTGTAAAAATATTTAAAGATTACAATTAAATTATAATACTGTGAAAAAAAAGTAAATTTAGAAATAATTAGTTTTTGTGTACTTGTTCAGATATAGATGCATGTTCAGTAAGGGTACGTTTATACCTTACTAGAAAGAACAGCACGCTGGTTGCTAGTAAAGATCGCAGCATCGTGTAAACCTTGCTTTAGATATATATCTAGCAAAGTGTAACTTGAGCTTGCACAGCTTGCACTTGCAACTCCATCTATCCATCGTCGACTGTGCTTACCAAAGCTAGCTGACTTGCACCGAGGAACGATAACAAATCGATGCGTCACTGAAATAGCAACTTTACGACTGCTTTGCTATAATTTGTATAATGATATGTTTTATGCAAAGGAACAATTTTTTTATTATCTAAATTATCGTTGCGATTATGTTTTATCTTTCCTTTTAATGAAAGATATTCTCTGTAATAAGGTAAACCAAATATATGATTACGAAGGAGGGAATGCTGGGGAGTGAACAAAATTTAATTGAAAATTTTTCATTCGCTTATTTACTTTCACTAGCATCAATCTGCACTACCATAGTTCCTTCATTCTTCACGAGGCAATTTTTACATCCGGTCAGGACTCTTGCCGCAAGAGCTTTCGGGGCACATGAGTGCGCGAGTTTGCATTCCAATTCCAATACACGGATACATTGATCCAATTATTTTCTCTATGAGTCACAATCCATCGCGCATAGCTAATATAATTGATAAAAATTAAAATGTGTTATAAATAACGATGATGTCACAGGTGAAAACCTTACACTTGGCGGCGCCTCTTTACGCGATGCGCGCAAAAGAGAAACCGCGCCGAGAAATGCTCGACTTGGCTCGGCTAAACTCCAGCCAGCGGCTGCGGTAAACGACCGGTAAAGTGCAGCGTCAGGAAGAAAAAAAAGGCAGATAGAGAGAGAGAGAAACGAGGAAAACGCGGCGCGCGGTCCAGCGTGTAACGCTGCAGGCGGAGAGCTCGGCTCGCGTTGGAGAACCAGCAGCGCGAGGGAACAATAAATTATCGACTCCCGGCGCGGCGAGATTATCGTCTCGAATTCCGTACATGACGTGTTCCGGCCGACGGCGGCGCGGGCGCCGCGACGGCGGCGCCGCGGTCCGCCGCGATTCGCCGGCGTTGAGCTCACCCGGGCTCCGATTCGCCGCCGATGACGTTCACCCGCGGCCGTATAGACGCACCGTCCCCGTGACGTGGTTTAACCCCGGCACCGCCGCCACTCCGACCGCATTTCACGGACGACGATCGAAGCGACTACACACGACGGCGGAGAGTGCGCATATAACGAGCGAGCGAGCGAGCACGCCACGGTTCACCTGATTCTGACACATCAGCCGCGCGCGCGAGAGACCGAGTGAAAAAAAAAACAGGAGCGCAGTTTGCACAGTGCCGGGACAGCAGCACGGACTGACCTCTCCTGAATTCTTTTCTGCACCGAGCTCCACCCGTCCCCAAGTGGAAGGTTCACCGATAACAATCGTCTCAAGGAGGGTGAGTATAAATTCATCAAAAAATCGCGCGCTCCGCGTCACGTTCGATTTTTCGTCGCGCGAACGTCATTTCGCGCTATTTCTCGTTATGTAACGATCCGATCACGCGAGATAGACGCTTATATGCCCATGTACAAGTCAGATGAGTCAGATCGCGGAGGATCCGAGCCGTCGAGCCAGCGAGAACCAGCTCGGCAGCGGGTTGAAAGGTAATAACGTGCTGCGTAGTCGCGAGGGATCGATTGGAGCGCGCGACGCGTTGTTGACGTCGCCGTCGTCATCGTCGTCGGCGGCGGCGGCGGCGGCGGCGGCGGCGGTGTGACTATATATATTTTCGGATCGCACCGGATATACATAGTTCCTTCGAGAGCGTTCCCGACGGTGTTTTGCGTCGTACGCGACGGAATTGTCACGGAAGTAGGCGCGCGCGACGTGCGCGCAGAGCGCAGTGCGCACACGGGGTCACCGCCGCCGATCAGGTGGCGCGAATTAAACAAACGGGACTGTCGCGCGCCGCGACGCGAGACGCGACGTCCGCGGGCATGATGCAACCGGCCGCGCCGAGCCGAGACCATCACTTCGCCGCGGTAGTCACATGCGCTCGAACGCCATCCGGCGTTACGTAATCAGTCCGTCGCGGCCTATAGTCTGGTCTGAACTGTAGCTTTTTCCCCAGCCGCAGTGCGCCTCCTCATCCGCCCACCGCACAATATATAAGCCCCCGGGCGGCAGAGAGGAAAAAAACAATGTATGTGTGTACATGTATATACATATATATACATATACGTAAGCCGCGAGGTTTCGCAAAGGAGCGCGCGGTATCTCCGCGAGGGAGCAAAACCCGGCGGAGATAAAGAAGATACCGCCGCCACCATGACGACGACGTCTCGCGACGTGGCGCGAGAGCAGCGGCGGATAAAAATCGCGAAAGGAATTTTCAAGGCCTCTTTTAATGATGACGATAACGCGTGTCGGAAACAACAAGCTGTTTGCTTTTCGCGATACCGCGGCCGGAGTTAACCGTGTAATTGCTTAAAGAAAGTACGCGGCGAGATAAGATAAAGTTGCACATAGGAAGTCGTGATCGCGTGACGTAACATTTTGGAGCGGTTCGCGAGGAGGTGACTAAGCAAAAGTCTCGCGCGCGAGAATATACCTATATATATATATATATCGTGAGAACCGAGATCCGCGGCGCCCGCGTATTTCGCCGAGGGAAACAATTACTGATGGCTCCGAACGGACTGCACTTCGCACTGATCGAACGCGGGGATGCCGCACGAAACGGAAGAATGCAAAATTCATCGAACGCGTTCCACATATACGCGACAGACATAATCTTATAATCCTCATGAGATAGGATTAATCCCTCTCGGGGTATATAATATACGATATTATCATGATAAATTACTGTTTCGCTTATTATTGCTCGGCAACGTGGAGGATTGGAATGGACGTCGACTGAGATACTGATTTATCAGATTAAACGTACAAATATTGTTTCTGTGTTCTCGGAATTATTGTTCGATGTCTGGAAAGCGAGTCATTTATTAAATCTGTACTAAATGATCTTCACCGAAGAATGTTATTGCGGTACAGTAAAAGGGTAGTGCGGAGTATCTTACATTTGACAAATTTCAAATGCGACAGTTAAGGCAGTTATTTATAAAAATTAATATACGCGTATAAACTCGGACGATTATAAGTAGGAAAGCAGGATAAAGGAAAGGCGTTTAATAAGTCCAGCGAAATTGTCGTGTCTATATTTACTTGTAGAAAAAAAGACTTTCTATTTTGAATAATTATAGACAATTGCGATTTTTATTTAACCGGACTCTGATAAGCTTTAATCTAGACATAATTAACGGACATAATGTAACGGTTTAATTATTTATTCATGTCACCGCACCAAGGATAATCTTATTAGCGTATTAACTTCATTAGCTTCCATTATTCTATTATTATTATTATTATTAAATAATTGAATTGTACTAAATCACGTTTGTCCTTATTTTCAGGCTTTCAAAATCCCTCCCATCTACGAACGTCCAACAGCCAGCAACATTTCAGTTGAGGAAGGAGGTGTTCCTAACGTAAGTACTGTCCCGATTCCGAGGGAGGATCCGGGACGGTGAAACACGTTCGGTACTCGTCGTGAAACGTTTCTGTACCCCCTGCACCGATCGGGTACTGACATGCCAACGTTTCAGGTATCAAAATCATGCAACCGTCAGCTGCGTCGGTCATCTGTTACTCGTGGCGTGAGATCGCGGCCACTGGGAGATGCCACCTCGATGAAGGTGGAGACGGTGCCTCTGCTAAGCCCGACGATGGAGACCGAGCTCTTCAAGGAGCCCTGGGTATTCCCGCGCGCAAAGGCGAATCCTACGAAAGGAGAGGACGTCGCGCTTTCCGCCTGGGAGGAGCACTTTCAGGATCTGAGCAGCTGGTGCATGGACACGTTCCAGGGTCAATGCGATTTTCCTATAGGTGAATCGACCACGTTTGAACTATCAGGTATGTACACTTTACATTATAAATCAGTTAAGTATTTTACGGAATTGGTTTCGTTAATTCGTTTAATTCGCCGACGTATGTTAATCGGCGCACCGCTGTATATTTATATATGTATGAATTCGCCTTGTTCCAGGTACGAAATACGAGGGTAACGGCGTTTCGATCGCGGAAGAGGAAGGGTTGTTGAAGGATCTGACGAGAACGGCTGACGATGAGAAGTTGAATTTAAAAATGGATATCGTTAAGACGACCAGAGCGTCGAGTGACAATCGTCACTCGCTGCTATCTCCGTTGGAGTTTGTTAACGAATACGGATTAAAATATAAGAATGAGGAGAACAGCGCAGCGTCCAACACGTGGTTAACGTCACTCGAGTCTGCAGCTACCAAGAGCACCACCTCGTCGAGCAAACAGCATGACGCGGACGTTGGCACGCCGCAATCCAAGGATCGCGATTTCGCTGGCCCAACGTCGCTCGGCACCGCCGCCACGAATCAGCGCGAAACGTGGGACGAGCTACGCACGATCGAGACCACCGGATCGGATGCTTTCGACTTGCTGTCGTACCTTTGGGAGGTACGTTGACAGGATTCTTTTTTTTTCTGATTTTATGTATTCATATAAATTGTTCTGTAAGCACAAAACCATAGTCATATACTCAGGGCTGGGCAAAATACATTATTAAAGTATTTAAAATACAAAATACAAAATACTGGCATCTTATTTGAATTACAAAATATAAAATACTTTCGATCTCTCGATTTGAAATACAAAATACAAAATACTTTCAATCTTTCGATTTGAGATACAAAATACTTTTAAGTTTTTATTTGAAATGCAAAATACTTTTTAATTTAACCTTCCAATTACAATAATATATAATGTTATAAACCCCCTTGAACAGTTCCCACTCTACTTTTAGAGAGAGAAAGAAAAGTTGTTTTACTCCCTTACATTCTTTTCCTATTGTCCTGTATGAACCGCACGAAAAAATCTATTTACTAATGTAAGATTATGAAATTTGACTCTAATTATTTGATATTGCTTGAAACTCGACGAAAATAATTAGTGTCTCTAATTGTCATATGAGAAAAATTTAAATTACTATTAATTGTTGTCAAGAATTTTTTTTTGTGTTTCAAATACAAAATAGATCGAAATTGTATTTGAAATACAATTTGTATTTTAAAATATGCCCAGCCCTGCGTATACTGATGGTCTCACTATGTACGTATTTTTATTTTCGTCTTATCTTCACTTCTGCAATGTCGTGTAAATCTTGTTGTGCAATAAATTAAAATTAAATTCATCGGAAGTGTCGGGGACCGCCTACGATCTATTCTAAAATTGAATTTTGTTGCAGGATGAAATGCGATCGATTGAGGGCAGCGTGCCTACCGACGATTCCTCGGCGGTGTTGAAAGTCAGACCGATGGTCGCGGCGATGCCGTCGCCATCGGTGCTGTCATTCGCCTCCGCGAAGGTGAAAACGGAGCTGGAGATCGACGAACCGACGACGACGCTACCACCCTCGACGCGTCGAAGGGCGGAGACCCGCGCGACGTCCACAGTGACCGCCGCGTCCACGCGGGCGGCGAAGTCTCTCGTGGCGTCGCCACCCCGAAGATCGGAGAGGACGCGGGTAGCGGCTAGTAAGGACAGGCAAAAGAAGGAATCGGCTGTCGCCAGTACAAAGGCAAAGGTCAGGAGCGGAAGGAAGAGGTACTACGAGAGCGAGGAGGAGGAGGAGGAGGAGGAGGAGAACTCCGAGGAGGAGGAGGAGGAGGACGTCGTCCTCTCCCAGTACAGGGAGTGCCGCGAGAAGAACAACGAGGCGTCGCGGAGATCGCGGATGAACAAGAAGGCGAAGGAGTCGGAGATGGTCAGGCGGGCGACCGAGCTGGAGAGGGACAACAAGATACTGAAGATGAAGGTCGAGGAGCTGGAGAAGCTGGTGACGTCGATGCGCAACACGCTGTTACAATCCGCTTTGAAGAAGGAATTTTGAGTATAAAGCGCGTTTATCCGATAATCTAGACGTTTTCCTCACGAGACCCGTGTGTCGCGCGTAATCAAATTAACCATCTATTGTTACGTCTTTCCGTTATTGTATGTTCGTGCACGCGCCATTTGTTGCGCGATTGTCCTTTTACCGCGAAGGGGCTGCGTGAGCTTTTTTAAAAGTTCTCCACTTTCAAAGCCGATTACTTTATTTGCCTTAATTATCTTAATGCAGGGAGGGGGGGGGAGGGGAATTAAAAGCGTTCTCAAAGGCTTATTATTATCGTTATTTTGACGTTGTTTTATCGAGACGATTTTTTTTTTATTGATCCCGTCTCGGGTATCTTACATATAGTGTTATGCAATTTTAACTGTCCCGATTAAGCCGATCGTGGACTAGCGAGATAGATTAATTGTACGCTGCTGCAGTGCGTTTAATAATGTTTAAAAAAAAAAATGCGGCGTTTGGCTTGCTACATGTCGACACGCGCTGAAATATATTAATCAAAAGTTTATTTTATTATAACGAAAGAAAGACAGAAAAATAAAGCGTGATATAGAAACACCGAAATTAGAGTATATTTTGCATAATAGATACACACACACACACATATATACAAACAAACACACATACACCATATACATATATATATATATATACGTATATATATATATATATATATATATATATATATACATATATCT